GGAACGGCTTCGTGCAATTCGTATGTTGTAGGCTGGAACAAGACAGATTATCGTGGCAAGAGATGTTAACGTTTCCGTTCATTGATTACCAGATTATTATCTAGATATCCATTGACTAATAACGCTGATTACAGGCGTCGATACGGTCGACTAAAGGCGACAACAGTTACTGGCGTACAAGACCGTTTCAACAGAACAGTACCTCTCAAAGGCGCTAAAGCTATTGGAGTGAGTGGGCAGACGATCTGTAATCGACTACAAGAGAAAGAGAGATATATAAACACCCCCACCCCACACACCAAAACACCCCCACCCCCTCTCTGGAACCGCCCCTGGGACGTGTCACTGGGCAGTAGTACAGTGGCAACATATTGGATGCACGCGCCGTGCCATATGTCAACATGGACATCATTTTGAGTTTCAGAATGACAACGCATACGGGGGTCGAACTGTCACTGAGTACCTCCAACGGGAGAAGACACACACCTTACAATGGCACTCAGCAAGACCTGTCGCCAATGAACATGTCTGGGGTTTACATGGACGGCGAATTGAATTAACCAAGAAGTAATTGGACTTTTGATTAGGACTATGCCTCGCCGAATCCGGGATTGTCTGGAGAATAGAGGCGGACTCACGCGATATTAATGAGTTTGACTTTTCATGGTAAATGACTTGATGGACAGTATGGGTCAAAGCGTCATCTGACGTTCAACGTCTTATGCGAATCTCAGTCAAAATATTTATCTCACTAAAGATATAAAATATCAATAGTTGTGACGTCTTTTTAATACCCCCTGCGTTTTTAAATAGTTTATTGGAAAAACACAATTCTACAGCCCGCCATTATGTGTAGCAACAAGTCAAATCAAATTAAAATTTTAAAAGGGACCAGTATAGAGATATAAAGTTACGGCAGTTACTAACACAAAAACATTGATGTCACTGTGTTAGTTGGTACACCACCTTGCTGTCTACAACCATGACGCTATGTAATGACACCATATATATTCGGCCTCTGATGTGCACTAGCCAATCTAGCGCACATGGTTCGCGTCACACGCACAAACTAAACCTGTAATAGATGTATCAAATCAAAAAGTGCCCATTTGAGCTGGCATACCCTAATTAAATCCAGGAATGGGTAGACGACGTAACTGTCATACGTTAACAATTGTTTCCGAGCAGTTGCGTAACCTTATATGGCGCCATATTCCAACCGGATGCGGGGGAGGAGGGCGTAAGCTGACAACAAGAGTCACACTACCCCACACACTTCCGATACCAGCAGACACGCTTGTCTTGTCCGGAATAAACATGTTTGGTGGTACATATGCACTGGGTTCTTTCACAAGATCCTCAATAATCATCACGATCTGTTAATCTTTCTAGCAACTAATTCATTTTTAAATAAGATCAAATTAGCTGAAAGCAACTTATGTACCTTTCGTCAATGTGAGGTTGAACCAATCTCCCACTTGTTTTGGTATTCTGAACTTGTGCAGGTTTTTTCGAAATGTTTTCTAGAATTATTGAATGATAAATGTCAACATGTTTACAACATGAATATGGACCTGCAACTTACTGTGTTTGGAATGAGAACAAATGTATATACTGATGATGTGTTTGGTTTAATATTGTTGCTAGCTAAATTCTTCTTATATAAATGTAAGCTATTAAAAACTACTCTTAGTTTTGTACATTTTAGCGATATTTACAAGATTGAAAAGAATATATCCTTCAGTAAAATTGTCAAGATAAGTTTTATAAAAAATGGACGTTATAGCATGATTTTGCAAATTTTAAAGGACTTTCTGAATTCTTTCTTCTTCTTCCGTATTGAAGAAAAAATATAGGCTGAATGAACTTGAACTTAAACAAACTTACTGTAATTGTTTGAAACTTGTAAGTGATTGGTGTGTGAATGTGTTGTGGGGTCTTGTGTTGTTGCTGTTTTGTGCATTGTTAGAAAAAAAATCTGTTTTTCTGTTGTCATACAAAGTTTTCTTGCGAAAGACCCTAGAGTCCCCTGGCTCTATTGCCTTTTACTGGAACAGGGGAAACAGGAAATCGAAATTGTCAAATATATAAAAAAAAGAATCTATTGAATCTAATGGGGGATTCGGGGTTATAATCGCTCATCAGTGGGTAGGATGGGGCGAGATGGGGGTGGGGGTGGGTGGGGGTTGTCGTTCCTTCAAGGCTCGTGAGGCTGCATATATTATCTACTCCTGGTTTTTCTGTAAAGACTTACCATTTACAACCTGCAGTGACTGGAATACTGCCGAATGTGGAATCTTACAACAAAACAATAACGTCTTATACCAATATCGTTCAACGAACGGATGCACTAACAGAAGTTCCTACTTGAAACAACCCGTGAAGATCCGGGTTAGAATTGGTCTTCGGTAACCCATGCATGTCGCAAGAGGCGACTAACGGGATCGGGCTATCAGGCTCGCTGACTTGGTTGACACATGCCATCGTATCCCAACTGCGTAGATCGATGTTCATGTTGTTGATCACCGGATTGTCTGATCCAGCCTCGATTATTTACAGACCGCCTCCATATAGCTGGAATATTGCTGAGTGCGGCGTAAAACAACAAACAAATATTTGTTTCATTGCCAGCCAACATTCAACATGTGTATACGTTTTCCAGCATTATATACACCGGGACACCGAGGATGATAACTTAAATCAGGTCCAAATCAAGTCCTGGCTGCATCACTTTCTATCTACGGTGAGCTATGGATGTATAAACCTTGCCCATCCATCTCGAATAGAAACTGCCCACTTGGAAAGTATCCAATTCTAAAGAACCAACAATATACTCTCCCAAACAAGAAACGCATAGGTGATATTGATGTATGAAATTTCAATTTAAAAAAGCATTTGTTTGATTGTTTTGATTCCGTCATTATAATGCTGGTTTGTGTACATGGAACGAATGCACAGCGCAAAAACTCATCTTCGGAAACTTTAACGCACGTTTACGTTCGAAAGTGTCAACTGGCATGAATATGTCATGGAGAAAACGTGGTTCGCAATATGAACATTCAATTCTGAGGAATCGTGAGCAGGGAAATTGCCTATATAATGCCGTTTGTCTTTCAAACGACTATTGGCTAAATGAAAGAATATCGTTATGCTGCGACTCACTGCTGCAAATCGAAACATTACCATTGTTCACGACTGACGATCGAGCTCGAGTTAGGGGTCGCGGACACACTGGATATGCGAAACAAAACATCTTGGAGCAAGTACCGTTTAACTGATGATATGAGCTGCCTCTCGCATAACTACGAACTTGACATTTTAACAATAAGACAACCGTACATCACTAATATTCTAGACAGGGTTGTTGTCTTCATGGGCGATAATGCTGGGCCACATCGTGCATGCGCCGATGAGGATTTTTACGTCAAGAGGAGGAAGAAAGTACGTTGGCCGCCAGGAGGCGTGGTCACAATCCCATAAAGCCTGTTTGGTATATTATGTGTCGTAGAATACGTCAGAGAGTTCATCCAGTAAAAAATCTTGATGTTTTGGAACAAGCCCTCCACCAAGAATGGAACACAATACCTTAACGTCAAATTCAACGCTTGTTAGTCAATGAAGAGGGTCGGGGACGTTTTTGTAGTTGGCGGAGGCCAGATATTGACACTGTGCTCAGTTATTGATACGCATGTGATTTCCTGAGGACTGTATGCCGGAATCTTGAAAATGAGCGCGCTTGTTAACGTCATAGGACAGTTGTTACAATTACTACAAAATATGTAAACTTCTGTTTTTCGTTCCTTTTGTTTAGATTAGACATTTAATTATTAGTAAGTTAAATTGAGGTTTGTATTCCTTTGCTATGGATGGTAACATACTGATACCATGACAAATATGGGGGTGTTGCGATACTTTTTCCATGTGTATACATCCACAGGATGTTTTGTATCAACTCTATTGTCAAGGAGCAATAGGGTGTCGGTGTGTGGGTACTTCAGAAACTACTGGTCGTCTCATCCCACAGGGTCACAGTTCTTGCTGGGAATCCTTGTAGTGTTGAGGTGAAGACATGGTCAGTGACACTGGGAATGAAGTCGGTTTAGTCAAGTCAAAAGGTTTATTGTACAACAGGCCTCCGGCCCATATACAAGAAAGTATGTACATATCATACTGTTACACAAAGGAAGTAACACGTTCTTTAAACAGTTCATTTCTTTTAACTAGTGCATGTTTAATATATGGTGAAAGGTTTAATATATGGGATTCGGTCTTAGTCGTTAAATTGTATACGAAAGCTTTCAATGGCGGCATCCCTATCAAATAACCTTTAATATATTTCTGTCGAAGGTCAGTGTATTGCATTCTTTGGTAACCTTCGAATCACATATACTATGTAGGCACCATGAAGAATCTGAGCATCGACGCATCATCACAAATGTGGAGTGATATCGATGTTTACATGTACCCATGTGAACAGCTTGGGAGCTTTGAGCACTATCGTCAATGTCTTAGCATATTTACTATGAAGGCGTAACCCACCAGGACAGGGTATGGTTTACACTGCTTTCAGCAATATTCCAGCAATATCACAACGGGGAAAACCAGAAATGGGCTTCACACATTGTAGTATTTGCACCCATGTGTAGAATCGAACCCGTGTCTTCGGCGTGACGAACCTACGCTTCAACCCTTTGTCTACCCCATCGCCCCTGAAAGTGATAAAGTGTAACTATACCAACATACACCAGGTACAATTTTATTCACATGGCCCTGAAACCATAGTCACGGGCCAATTATCACCTGGGCAAATCCTGGGAGTCAAATTAATGACCTTAAAATCCTGGTACTACCCAATGCAATTCTGCACAGGTGAAAAGAAAGGCATGTTATTCCAGTAATTGATAATATCAGTTCTGGAATAACATGCTTTTCTTTATTTGATATCTATTAATAATCCCCAAACTTCTGTATTTCTGTGGCTTAACAACAAAAGACGTGGGTATATAAAAAAATCTTCACCTTTATTTCTTTTGAAGAAGGTAAAATACTACATTCAAGCTCAGTCTGACATTCTCTCAATCAACAGGTTGAGAACCAACTCAGCATGGTAACCATAGTAACAAAACACCAGCCTTTCTTCCAAAACATTGCCTCAAAATACCATAACATATAAGTAATGATAATTACAAGAAAAGTTATCATATCTTGATTTATGCTAACGACCAACTATGTCGTAAATCTTGTGTTTAACATGTTGAACATTTTTTAAGAAACAAAACTGATTGTGTCTCTTCATTCCGGCAAAGGCATTTCCACGCACAATATAACAAATAATGTTGAACACAAGATAAACATCAGTAAAACCGCTGTTTGACATTCAAGATGAAATAGCACAATACGATACACAAGCACTATAAGGACTGGGAAAGATGGAGATCAAAATCACACCATTTTCGAATGTTGAACTGAAGACATATTTTAGTGACTTTTCCAAAAATATAAATTATGTTTTCCTTCACCTCAAGGCCTCAAGCAAATCAATGAACCTTCAATATGTTCCAGAAGCAACAAGGTCAATGAGGACAATGTGAACCGGCGTAACTCCTCTCACAACGATAACATGTTAATCAAGTTATATACAGATGACATGTGAATATGTACAATCAACAACAGCATGAACGCTTCTTTCACTCAGGATAACAAATATGTTGAATATATTACAAAAAATAATCAGATAATGGAGTTCAATAATTGATCCAAAATATTAGTAACATGTTGCAACTTATCAAGTGTGCATAACAAATGCATTTCCTTAAGATTATTGTTTACTAATGATTGTAACAAACAATGTATGAGGCTTAATAAAGACAATATCACACACATGTATATATACTGTCTCAGATTAAATGGTATACTACAAAACAGGTGGGTTTTGATTTTAACAGTTTTGGAAGCAGAACTGAACATCACATTTATCAGGGTACTTTACAATGTGTACTCGGATTTGCCAAATGAGTCTACTGTCCTACACACACATGCATCAACGAATGATGAAAATAGTCCTGTTATATTCTAGCATCTCCATCATTGGTCTCTTACATTGTTGTGCTGTGAAGAATGAAACTGGAACCAGGCAAACTCTCCCACCAGGAAGCAAATCTAGACCACCTGAAGCCATGCGAAATCTCTACGAAAGGTCAACCTCTAGAAATGTCACCTACAAGCAGAGCAGCACTTTTCAAGGAGGAAACAGATAGTCACAGATATACCAACTGTTCCAGCGATTAGGAACCAGATAATTCAAGTTTTGGGTGTGGTCCATCTAAAATTTGGTTACACAACAAAGAGACAACTGCTTAATATCACACTGGTAACTTAATAACGATGCCTAGACTTTACTACCCTACTGCTACCTCTTTCAAGTGCTCGTCTAGCTCAAATCTTGGAAGCAGTTTGCGAGATAAGGAACAGGACAGCCCACCCTGGGACAGCTCCTGACTGGACCACGATCTTGTGTTTCTGTTGTCACTAACAGTAAAGCCAGATAGAAGATACTTGGGTGAGTACAGACCACATGTAATGAATTATAATGCAAATGGTTTGGGATAATTCCAAGGCAAGCATTTGTCACATGTGCTCCTATGTAAGCTGCTACAAATGGTAACCTATGGTGGTCATGCTATGATGCTATGATAGAGTGTGGTTGATGTGAATTACCCTTCACCAGAACTCCAAGCCCATACAATATATGCAAGTCAATACACAAAGTCAACGCTACTCTCAGCTTAGAACTGTTCCAAAAATATATGAGCTGAGTACCAACAAATTTCACTCTGTTAGGTTCATCTGTTAGTATTATCAGGAAGGGATTTCGAAATCATGCCTATTTCAAAAGAAATAACATGAAAGTTCTGTTTAGGTTTAACATTTTGCATGATTGTTTTTGTGTGCGTCTACACAATTTCCTTCCAAGAGTTGTCAGATGTACAAGGAATCTCATACCAGATGGTCACTGTGAGTCGTGGTATTAACACTTACATCAGTAAACCCCTTGGGTCTCGATCAAAATACCATCGAAAATTAAACAGCAACAGGAAGGAACCTTAAATACAGCTATCACAACCACAGTTACCATTAAAAGATCCATTAACACACCTACCATGACTGGCTTTTTTCATAACAGGGAATTCGTAACAAGTAAACACTGGCTTAGTAAAGACCCAGTCCTAAAGTTCAGTATTTCCATGTTCTTTCAAGTCAATCCCTGAATTTTAAAAACCCGAAAAACAAATGGGAATCCAAAATTCAACTCAACAGTAGACCTCAAGGGGTTACATTTCATACTAGCACTGTCCACGTAATATTATAGATGTTGATATAATCCGGTTTCTTCAATCATCCTTCTTGATATTTTTCCTTTTCTTGTTTCCATTGGCAAGTTGGTCTTCAGTGCTGTAGTTCCTGGGGACAAGAAAGACATTGCCATCACTGGACTGCTGGAGAGAGTACTCGTTTGGATCATATGGGCGGCCATGCTCATCCCGCAGTGAATGAAAGATCTCTTGGTACATGTGGCTGAACTTCTCCTTCATCTCGCGGGTCTGCTTGTCGATCTGTTGCCGTTCCCTCACCAGCTTCTCCTTCATCTCCTTCAGGTTGTCCATCTCATCCTCCAGGGTTACCACAACATCTAATTTTCTTTTCCGGCAATTCTGAGCTGCAACTTTATTTTTTCCTCTTCTCCTGATATCTCGGATGAGTTGTATTTGTGGCTCAGTGAGTTTGTATTTTGTGATCATCTCGTTGAATTCCTCCACTGGAGACTCAATGATTTGCTCAACCGTGAAGGGGACATTCAGCTCAAAGGCACGCTTTTGATCGCGAGCATGAGGACCCTTTGTCTTTGGCTTGTCTGTCTTTGTGCCTGTTTTTATTTCCTTGGGAGATGCACCGGGCTTGAGAGGATATGTATGATTGTGATTGATGTGGTTGTTGCCACCAAGAGGCTTGTTGACGTCAGTGTCGTTGGAGGATGTGGAATAGTTTGTCTGCGAGGAGTCGCTGTGACTGAAGCTGCAGGAGTAGCTGTAGTGGTATTCCTCAGGGTCATACTTGGAAGTCTTGGAGTAGGTGGGGCTGCCGTAGTCGCTGCCGCCAGTTGCACCCTCAAGACCATCAAATGGAGACATGGCGTTAGACTCACTCAATTCCTGCAAATATCAAACACAAACCTGAATAAAGAAGCTCATAATACGTACAAAGTGATACTTCCATGACGTTTTCGTAAACAGATAAACATGTTAAAGTAGTGTGCACATATACCGAAAAAACAAAAAAACAAGATAGGTGATCAAGAATATTTTAGGGTCAATTTTCAAGAAGTTGTGTTCTGCCTTTGCTAAAAATATCGCCCTAATTATTCTTCATCCCCAATCGGTTCATTTATATGTTAATAAAATCCAAGAAAATATGACATGCAAAACAACAGGAACACCAGCTAAAACAGGGTTAGGATTCGATCTGACTGTATTGTGTCATGTCAGAGCGACCTGCGACACTTGCTTCGACTCATCTACAAGCTGACCATACTTGGCAATTTCGGAAAAGGTCTGAGTGTACTAACCTGCATTGGAGAAGCACTGCCCATAGACACAGCAGAATCACTACTAGCTTCATCCAACATCTGCATGGTCTGTAGTCCTGACAACACAAGATCACAAAATAGTGACAATTTGCTCCAGTCATTTCCTGTCATGTCCCCCATCAAGAGCAGAGATGACACATGATCTACATCACATGTGAAGATGAACGTACCTGCTGAGTCATGTTACAAGACTAACTTGGGGAAGTGAGTCTGACTACTTGCATATTTCATCATCCACCTACCATCGACAACACAAACCATATCAACAAACATTCAGCTAGTTCACGCACATTTCAGAGTGCCCAGGCCCCACTTGTTAAATTACTGTTGACACTGTCATTGAGAATCAGTCCATGCAGTATTCCCAATATTCCCAGTCATGGAATATTTTGTACAAGTGCCTTCTCAGTGCAGAAATGTAAATACCTTGCAGAACACTACTTTCAGTGCAGAAATAGAAACGATAAGACACTGCAGGATCTTAATACACATGCCGAGTCATGTTTAAAGTCTAATAGTTACATCAGATTACTGAAAAGAACAACAATGTTTTCAAGAATTGGGAATAGGGAATGGGCAGAGAGTTGTTTTCCCAGCTACCTGCTGCTAGTATACCTCTCACTGCAGGAAGTCTGTAATTAGCTTACCTTCATTGATGGCCAGATCAAGCTCATCTTCTGGTAGAAAGTCAGGCAGGATGCCATCAATGTCTTCAAGACCCTCAGTCTGGTTGACTGTTCCAGTGACGTTAGAAAAGAGCATTTCACTGGCTTCCCAGTCCAGGCCCCCAATGGTGTCTGTATTGGGCACAGAGGAGTTGAACTCCTGGCTCGGGGGAAGGAATCCTGCAGACAAACACCAGTCATTGTTAGCATGTTTCTCTTGGGAAAGTAAAAAAGTAGTGGCTATCAGGCAAAAATGACACTGAACCAATAAAGACAGTAGACGGTTGATTATTTGGAACGTGTCCACTAAACAAAGCAATCTGACTTATGTTCAATAAGGATTTTTTTCATAATTTGCCTCAAAAGTTATAGTCTTCTGTCATTAAGGAAAAGGTAAGTTAGAGCGATAAAAGCATACCTTACAATCTGGAAAAGTGGAACTGTCTGTGAATCATCACTAAGATCAACTTAGAAAGTAGTGTTTCTCCCTATCTCGTACCTGTGTTGTTGATGGGCGACATGCCTTGTGTTGTGTTGGTAACTGGAACAGGCATTGTGACATTGGCTACTGGAGCTGGCATAGTGGCGTTCTGCAGCAGCACATTGTTGTTGATGCAGGGGCTCTGTACCGACGGAGAAGGCATATCATTTGTTGTGTTCACCTCGTTGCTCATGTTCATCGCCATGCTGTTCAGTGTAGTGATATTAATTGATGGAGTGTTGATGTTTGTGACATTCATCTGTGGCCCTGTACTGGCAGTATTCAAATGGCTCATATTCAGCTGTGTGGGGTTCACGCTGGTCATATTCAGCTGGGAACTGTTCACTCCAGCCAGATCCAGCAGGCTGACAATGTCATCCCAGTGCTGGTCCATACTCTCCTGTCGATTAAGATTTGGTGAGAGGTGTTGTGGAGGCTGCTGAGAAACAGAAGAGTTAACATTGGTTAGTTAGTAATGTGAACGCTTCATGCAATTTTACTTCCTTAAAAATCACTGCTAAACTCACCAAAATGAGCCAGCAAAAAATATATGAACTAGTTATCAGACAATACTAACATTTGAGGACACAAGTCACTGAAACATTGTATATTTGGCACTGTGCATTTTATGAAATTTTGTCTTGAAGGATAGACAAGATGAATAAGATTGCTACTATTAAGAGTAATGATTGATACTGACCACAAATGAAACCCAACCCTTGTGATTTTGATATTGAATGTATCAACACTGATCAGATAATACTGATTATGAAAGATTATGAGGAGATTTTCTGAATGCTCCTCATATCATGAGTGAAACATACAAAACAGTTGCCCACTATTTATACTTTAAAGTGAAAAAGAGGGCAACATTGATGAAAGTGTTTTATGAAAATAAAGGCATACTACTGTTGCAGACTGCAACTCAATATACAATCATATCTGTCAAGTTCTACCTGTACTACGTACATAATGAAGAAAAAGCTGCAATTTGCCAAATGAAACAAGACATGTTGGTTGTTAGTGAGGTACCTGCACAGTTTGGTTGGTATAGTTGTCTGTTTGCAGCAGGAAGTTCTCCACAGCTGGTACAGTGGGGCTGATGTGGGACTGGGGTGGCATGGGCAGCTGTGTATTGTTGTCAGGTACAGTGTAGCTTGGGTCAACAAATGTACCAGTCTCGGCATGCAAGATGTCCAGTGCCTCTTCCAAGGATAAGGCACTCTGAAAAAAAAAAAATGAAAAAATTGTAGAAGCAAAAAATATTTTAAAACTACTCAGAATGTTTATGATTATTACTAAGCATGCTCAGATAAATGCATAAATCAGTGCTACAAGGATTCTTACTCCCTCCCATGTTAGACATTCTGTGAATAGGCTTCACATATTGCATCTTAGACATATGTATGTGAATAGGCTTCACATATTGCATCTTAGACATATGTATGTGAATAGGCTTCACATATTGCATCTTAGACATATGTATGTGAAGCAGCTTCACATATTGCATCTTAGACATATGTATGTGAAGCAGCTTCACATATTGCATCTTAGACATATGAATGTGAAGCAGGCCTTCTCCCCAATGACTATACATTTATACAAAGTTACCAATTACTTTGAGGACAATAATTGTACTGTCATGTTATCTACAGACAGGTCTGCAAATCAGTTACACTTAGAGGAGTTACTAACAAAGTTACACACAACTTACGCTTAGCAGCTCGGAGTTGGTGAGGACATCCGGAGGCATCTGTGGAGGTGAGGACTGAAGAGACACCGAGCCATTCAGGGGAACCCATTCGCCTAGAAGGGTAGTTACAGTTGTTCACCAATGCATAGTAAACATCCCATTGATCAGTCTCATACCAAGAACAATATACTGATATCATCTGCATTGACTGTTACAGACATGGAAAATTCAGAGATAAACCAGTGCTTGTAAAAACCACCAAAACAAATTATGCCATGCATTCAAGTATTAAACATGAGACACGGCTGGTAATGCTTACTAAGTTAAATGTATGAGCCTCATGAGACAATGGCCGAAGTTATTACATCAGAATGTTCTCAGATGTTTCTTACCAGTTTCTCCATCCTGCATGTAATTCTGGTTGAGCCATTGTTGCTGCTGTTGTCGCTTCTCTTCCTCTGCCTTTAGTCTGATTAGCTCAAGCTCCTTTTGCTATAAACACACAAGCATTATTCACTTACAAAAGTTTCAAGCATTATACACTTACAAAAGTTTCAAAAACATGAAGACCATTTAAGTAAACAAATATACCATTAGTTATTCCACATGTTCTGATGTTTACAATGTGAAACATTTTTCATGTCAAAATATGTAAAGTAACAAACCTTTTCTCTCTTTTTCTGCAATTCTAGCTCTCTATCCCGCTCAAGTTCTCGTCGGAGATTGATGTCAAAAACCTCCTTGCCAACGCCCAGATCTATGTCTTGTCGCCATAATACCTCTATTAGATCCAAGTCCTGCAACACAACAAAGATGCATCATACAGCTGGCCTCATGATACAAGGGCAGTCTACCAAATTACTGCAGTACCGAGAACTAAGACAGCAGATCATCAAATGTTCCGAACAATATTTCCTCTCTGTACAGCTGCAGATCAACATCAAACTAGGGCCTGCTGTAGTGAAATATTGAGTACGCAGATTAGAGGTCCATTTGGAAGAACAGATACAATTTTCAAGATATGGTCAAATATAGAAACAGGAAGAAAGATACATAAGCAATGTAAATTACAGGTTTTATAAAGACACATCAATAGATTCTTGTGACAGACACATAGCTACACCAAAAGCCAATTATCTTACAATCATTAAAACTAACTAATAACTTGCCCGTGGCATCCCACACCCACTGTAATTTTGAAAACTGCGAAGAGCCGAGGCAGAATACATCCTTCTCACACTTTCTCCTTGTATATAATTAGCAGACAAGTCATAGCCGCAATATTGAAGTGAGTAGCTCCGCCTACCACTCTGCCCAGGTCAAGTGCTTCACAATACTAGACTCATGATAGTCACATGTGTGGGATTTTTATGCCCATGATTTTACTGTCATTTCAATTGTAAGCAACAATTACTTTCAAAACAAAAACAGTATCAGAATGTTAACAATTATGAAAAACAATATCCCAGCTGCATGCATTTTCATAACTACTGTCAGATAATCAACTAACATCAATAATTACAAATCATTTAATGTGATGAGCTTAACATGCTTAAAAATCTGAATAAATTCAATGAACTCCTAATTAATTGCCATTGTTTATTACTATTGTGACCAAACACTTACACTGCCTACAGGGGTATGCAAATAACTACAGTCAACATTACATGTGTCTGAAACCCATATGCAGAGTGTGTTGTTAAACGAATAATCAGAAATGATAGGGGTAGACATTCTCCAAGTATTTATTCTAGACTTGTTTGACCTCACTTCTAAGTTTAGTCACATCCTCTAACTCAATTTCAAATGTACAACATAACAAATTAGTATGACTGTACTACAGTGTAATATGCACAGGGTTCGAAATACCCCATATATTAGTGTGCCATGGCATAGTAAATATTGAAATGGCACAACTGAAAAATGTTCTCTGTGCCCTTTGGACACTCCTAATTTTCTAGAGACATAACTCACATTTAGTCATTTAATCCCCCAAACAATTATATTTTTCCAAATTGAATAATACCATACATATTTGAATGCTCATAAACCCATTTCTTTATTTAACAATAAATTTCAAATGATCATCATCATTGTCATTTATTCTAAAAACATGTGGGCATACTCGATTTCTGAAAAGCACACCTAAAATATTTGTCTGGTGCCCTAAGGCACACTTAGAAAGAAAAGTATTTCTATCCCTGATGCAGCTGGTTCAAGAGACCAATATTACAATGTGATGATGCATCATTTAACATGATGAATATATCACTAGAGTAGTTCTCCTAACACACACATATATATTGAATGATGTATCTTAATATTCTTGGAACAATGAAGAATCACTCTTATTATGGAATCACTGTCATAATATCAATGACATCACTAAACGTCAACAGGCAGTATTGTAAACAAGCATTGTCACTAAGGTGACATAATCCCCCGCCGCAAATTATCAAATCAAACTTATAAAGTAATGAAAGCTTAAATTAAATGTCAACAAAAACATGACCAGTCAACCTCTCTTGATATCGTGCTCTTTAGGTGTTCAAACACACACATATTTTCAAGACTGACTTTGACCTTGACATGAATGTCATAGTGTATGAAATATGCAAAAATAGTACTAAAAGAAATTGCTTATTGAAAAACATTTAAGGGAAGTCTTGAAAGTCTGAAGAACATCCAGTGAACCGTTCTTGAAATAAGTTGCTGACAATTCAGGTTAACATGCTGAAATCTTCAAAGTGTCGCTGTGACCTTGAAAATTAAGTGAAGGTCACCAAAATCGACTGGGCCCTGCGCCTTCCCTGGATGAAGCTTGGTGTCAAATATGAAGAAACTCCAGTGAATGGTTCTTGAGGTATCTCGCTGACAAGCATAACCTGCAGGTTAATATGCTGAAATCTTCAAAGTGTCTCTGTGACCTTGAAAATTAAGTGAAGGTCACCAAAATTGACTGGGCCCTGCACCTTCCCTAGATAGATCTTGGTTTCAAATATAAAAACAATCCAGTGAACGGTTCTTGAGATAGCTTAACATGCAGGTTTACATGCTGAAATCTTCAAAGTGTTGCCATGACCTTGAAAATTATGTGAAGGTCACCAAAATCGACTGGGCCCTGCGCCTTCCCTAGATAAAGCTTTGTATTGAATATGAAGAAAATCCAGAGAAAGGTTCTTGAGATAGCTTAACATGCAGGTAAAATGTGAAAGTCCCCCTTGTGACCTTGAAATGAAGGTCAAGGTCACCAAACCTGACTTGGACCTTTCTTATACTGTGATGAACCTAGGTACCAAATATGAAAAGAATCTAGAGAACGGTTCTTAAGATATTCCAATTGGTACGTACCTACGGACAGAGCCTAATACTATATCCCCCGCTTCGCGCTAAATGCGCGGCGGGGGGATAATTATGAGGTTATGGGCTCATTTATCTGAGCTTTTGTAAAATTAATTCAATCATAGCAATTCCTTTAAATTCTAACCACTTTTGATATTTGTTACCATGGCTGTATACCACTTCTACACTTTGACTATCATCAGGTTTTGAAACAAAATTGTATCTGAACTAGTTTTAAAAGAAAAGAATTCACTGAAATATTCATGTATATATATTAATGATAAAACTGACTATTAGACATTTAAGGCAGGTAGATTAACCCTAAAAGAAAAAATGGAGTGACCTTAACTATATCAGGCCCTCGGGTTGGGAAAAATAGTGACACAGAAATCACTAAGGGCTCAGGAAATGATGGTTAAATGAAACTGACATTTATATGTCACAAACTATTGATGATCACGACTTTGCAAGCTTTACCACTTGCTTTAAGAACAATGCATTCCAAACTGCACTGTAAGTCTTAGAATGTATGGAGAACATGTAAGGAGCACTGAAGGTGTCCAAATTAACTACCCATGTGTACCCAAAGCATCCAACTGGGTACCTGCTGTAGGTCTCAAAGAGTTGGGTACAAAATATCCAGTGGTCCTCCTCAACACCCACCTGACCCAGGTGCCAAAGTTACCATGATTACCCCCATCACAGGCCCAGTTGTCATGGACAATGCAAACAGCAAACAAACACTGACTGGTGGTTGTTACAACTTTCAGCGAGTGGTGGAAACATGAAGTCTGATCAAATTTTCAGCTCAACGACATGGTACTTTCTTGTTGATGTTCAACATTTCCTTAATGTATGCTAAACATGCTAATAGTAATACATCATAACTGGGTATTTTCATGAGACAAACTTTCAGGAGCTGAATTCTATGTGCAGGCTGTTGCAATTTGATTATGGTTATTCAGGTTAAACAGAAAGGCCTATTACTTTCACAATTTCTAGTAATTACAATCAAGGAACATTTAGTGAATAAGATATTTTTACTATAATGGGTAACCTACCAATGGCTGAATATACCAATACCTACCAATATTCCACACATTTGATAAACACATGTTTTGAATAACACTTTTTACTATAGTTTTCACAATATATTCAGGTCACCCATGTTTGAAGATTGTATTTTCAGGGAGAAATGACAGTGAATGAACTAAATGTGCATTATCTTGTTGGATTTTTGTTCACATAAACTAGTCAAGTGATTATCCCACGTAATTTCTAAAGATATGTTTCTATCATATAGTATCAAGGAATTATCTGCAGTATTTGTAATATTTCCAAATCAGAAGCATTTTGGCTTATCACTTTCATTATATGATTACATATTTCTGTCTCCCTTCAAACAGAGATAACAGTAACCTAAAGTAAAATGAGTCACAACTACATATCCACTACAATGGGTATTGGTGATCATTATAACTTGATGAAACTGGCTACAGTACTAGTCAGTATAACATCCTCAAGCCAGGTGAAATATCTAGAAGAGTACATAGCCATGACTTGTCATCATTTATAGCTGATATTCATGCGATGCGAGTGTACAGACCATCAATAACCGGACTTACTAATGTTACTATAGTGAACTTGTGTCAAAACCAGGAAGATGCTTGCCTTATCAGGGGGTAGATAACATGCAAGCTAAGTGTTTGAAGGGTAACAAAATCACTTTGGCTGTTGCTCATATATTTGAAGAATTTGCAGTGAACGCACAAATGATCAGCTTTAATCCTATTCATAGAGACATTTGTACCTCATCTGTAGGTTCACTTCCTGGTTCAGATGGTGGTGGAACCCCAACTGCACCTGCACTATCATCATCATTCACAGAACATACACCTTCTGATGTAGAGGCTTGATTGTCAACGTTTTCTTGGACCAATGATGCAGATGTCTCTGCGTTTGGTATGGCAGGATGAGCATGGTTATTGTTATTGGAATCTTCACTGGAATGTGTCTGAGGACCACTGGCTGCGGTGGCAGGAAGTCCAAATGTGGTTTCACTAACTAGAAATGCATTAACTTCAGTAGCAATTCCATCAAATCGTCGAAATCGTGATAAACTTCTTAAATCTCTAAAAATTGAAGAGAAAAAGTCATTGTCTACATTTTTCGGGTGTACACTTCCACCTGGACTGTTCTGATTGTTGTACTGGTTATGAAAGTTTGTTGTTGTGTAGGCAAATGATTGTCCAAGAATAATGTCTTGCACTTCTGGGTAGTTTATGTAGTTGTTATGGAGATGCCAGTTATTGAGATCTGTTCTCAAAAGGCTGAGTATTATCGCTATTTGAATCAGTCCATCCGTGAAGTACTGCTTGATCATAATGGCTGTGTCCTGTCACTGCTGTTTGACTGTATCCAAAAGTATATGGAAATGATGTCAAATGTTCCTTGAAATTGTTTGAGATTTGTCTTTGTTTTTGTCTTTATCTGTTGCTTCTTTCAACCAGTGCTAAAAATAGTCACAAGCATATCCTGCCATTGTGGTGAGGAACCGTGTTACAAATTCATTGTAAATGCTATCCAGATTTGAACAAATGACACTTCCATCATCTCATTATGCACTTGGGGTTAACATCTTCACTCCTGGGAATCTTTTGGCAGCAAATTATCGTATATAACTCCCGTTCTCGAAAATTCTATTTCACAGCTCCCAACAAATGAATCAGCACGTTTATTATGACATCACACAACCACTGCGCATGTACGGGAAGTGACGTACAACGCATGTACACATTTCATCTGACCTACTTCCGGGCCTATCACAAGATCATTGAGTACACTTTGACCCTACAAATCGACACATACACGATATAAAACATAATAATAGAAAATGGCCCACATCCACACAGTCACAAACCAACTATACCAACAAAAACAAGCACATTTATTAATGTCTAATCGCAAAATATCGATCCATAACCTGCCTAAACCCAGCTGATCACAAACCATGGCGAAGCTCTCTCGATCGTGCCCTAGGCAGCATCAACGTTTAGGGTTTTTTGTTTCGTTTACAATGACAAATAAACAACGAATGAGGCATAATAGTATACACCACATTACCTGTGAACGTTCCGTGCCACCCGTGTGTGGCATCACGGACTGCAGTTTCATCATTTTGGAGGTTTTCAGTACCACAATCCTGTATATTGACAACCTCGACTGGGTTCTGTCCTGGTATGAATATACGACCTCTGACCCGAAGTATACGAATCTCCGATTGGTTGAAATGTTTACGTTCTGTAAAAGTATGTCTTGATTTATCTTGCTTGTTACATTTGATATGTTTTCAATGTGGACCTGTCACGGGTTAGTTAAAATAATCATATCTGAAACACAGGTCTCACATATACAAGCAAACGCAACAACATATCCTCCCACAACGGGTTGTTCCAGTTCTTGTTTCTATTTCTGGAGAACCAGGTCACTATATCGCTATTGGGCAATCAGGCAGTCACGTGTCATGTCTCCCTGTTAGGCTATGTACAGACGCATATGTATGTTCAAAGATTGTGTTTGCATCACTGAACTCTTGTTATTAGTGTCAGTTATTGTATCCCCGCGAGACATGGGGGATGGTTTCTGGGGTGACAAGGCTGAGCCGAGTCTTTCGTTGTCTTGTACTCACAAATAAATTTAAATAAATAGCGAGAGAAACTGATTTTACCATATGTTTGAATTTCTGAGCAATATATCTTAGTAATCCGTGTTATATCAGAAAATGAACAGTCAGCAGTCGAAGAATACTTTAACAAGAATTTACTTTTTAAAATATTAGTTCATTTAAAAGGATAAGATAAGTAAGAAAACAATTCCACTCCACAGTCTTCATTGGACCAGTTTTTTACACAAAATTACCCAGCCAGGGATTACTTATCAGTAGTAAATTCTTTCAATTTTCAATGACATAAAATACTCGATTTGGTTGACTTGAAAACCTGTTATTAAATATTTTATCCAGGTCCCTTCATTTTACAATTTCAGGATTTCTGTGCACTAAGGGCAATCAATAAATGCAACATTAGAAATCACTCAAACACACAAGCAAGACACAAAGACGTACACAGGCGAGCGGGCGCACGCGCACAATACGCGCTGAATTTTTATGCAATAAGGACAATCAGTAAATGCTAGATTGGATATGACACAAATACACATGCAAGACACACATACACACGCACACACAAGCGTCATCCAAAAGACGTCAAAGTAAGGAGTGTTCACAGGGGACATACTGGTCTCTGCATGTTTACATATTAGCATCTGTCGAGGTTAACGAGTCGGTGTTCGATGAACATGGATATTTCCAAACGTTTTGTATATTAAGCAGTATGTAAAGTTGAGTATCTTAAGACTTCATTTCCATATAAAGCTGCACAACAAGTGGTGCAGTGTTAAGAAAGATGCATGCGCTCACTATAAAATACATGTATATTAAATAATCTGCAGGCGAAGGAAAATGTGCATCAGATTTAATGATGTCTATAAAGAAACAAACACGACTATAGATGATACAGTACAGGTATTATAATGAAACAAACACGACTATAGATGAAACAGTACAGGTATTATAAAGAAACAAACACGACTATAGATGATACAGTACAGGTATTATAATGAAACAAACACGACTATAGATGATACAGTACAGGTATTATAATGAAACAAACACGACTATAGATGATACAGTACAGGTATTATAATGAAACAAACACGACTATAGATGATACAGTACAGGTATTATAATGAAACAAACACGACTATAGATGATACAGTACAGGTATTATAATGAAACAAACACAATTATAGATGATACAGTACAGGTATTATAATGAAACAAACACGACTATAGATGATACAGTACAGGTATTATAATGAAACAAACACGACTATAGATGATACAGTACAGGTATTATAATGAAACAAACACTACTATAGATGATACAGTACATGTATTATAATGAAACAAACACGACTATAGATGATACAGTACATGTATTATACTTGTGTGCAGTGTTTCGGTGAGTACTTTCAGATTAGTAACGTGTTGACAGCGTTTGTAACGTTTTGGTCGAATCCAATTTTAATTTCTGTTGTTTGGTTGTTTATGTCGAATTTTTCGAAAAGTTTAGGGAGACATACTATTGTGTATTTATTGTCTGTCAAATCACCCGTACCAAGGCTGGTGCAATAGCAATGAAAGATTCACAGCGACTTGAAAACCGGCTTTCTGTACAGTCGTGGAGAAACAGGGAGCGCTGTGCATGCTGAGAGTCCCACTGTGTGTTCCCAACAATGCACAGATACATTTCAATGTCAGTCTGACCCCGTCACGGGAGGAGGGTGACCCCCAATAGTTACACACAATACATATACATATTGTTCACTGTTTGGAGACCCATGACCGGGAGACATGCAGTGGGCCCGGCGGGACCTCGGTCTGCGCACACGCACACATACGCATACTCAAGCGCAGACGCACACTTACTGACAAGAAGACACAACACACACACCCCGAAAAAACCCCAGGCAACTGCACACTTTTACAAGTGTGTCCGACAATTTATTCAACCTGTTCATCGGAATATGTGTTTTTGTTTGTTGTTTATCATCCAACATTCCAGCTCTATGTCGGTCTGTAAATAATCGAGTCTGGGCCAAACAATCCAATGACTGACGACCTGAGCATCGATCTTCGCAATTGATGACATGCAACAACCATTTCAGCTAGCTCGACCACTCGATCCCGCTTGTCGCCTTTTACGAGTGTCATGGGCCGGTGAAGATCAGTTCGTACCCGGATCTTCACGGGGGCGGATTATGTGACAGACATGTGATGAGATCTGTGGTACATATGCACCTGTATCCGTGGACATTCTCCTGCTACTTGTTTCCCGACTGTCTCAGTGTATTGCGTGGAATGTGTGTGGAATGTCTGGACCTTCATTAATGATACCTGTAACTTGAATCCTATAGCGAGGTGTCATGATGTTAACATCGCGTTCAAGATGCGTGCATTTATACAGCAATGCGCATGCGTCACCTAGTCTGAACTAATGCGTTTTTATACTGCCATCCAACTGAGATATCCTCCCACAGCTCAACATGGATACCCTGCCCGTACTGATGTCGCCCCGACCCAACCCTGCCCGATCTCAGGGAGTGTGCAACAATCATCATGTTACGTCTTTTGGTATAACGCGACCAGGGCTCGAACCACCTACCTTTCGATATCAGGGCAGACGCTCTATCCACTACACCACGTAGGAGGTCTGTGGACTCTATAACCCATATCCCACTTGCACAACGCGATCTTAACGTTACGACTTTCTTAAGTCGATGTTATAGTAATAGCCTGTCCATTGATTATGATCACATTGATTTTACTAACTTCCGTAATATGGAGAGCAATCTACAGTAGTTGGTCATACGTGAGTCATCATTAGTGAAATTCCCACAGACTTGCATGCTAATTAACTCAAGCAAGAATAATTTCATAAATTAGTTTCGGTCAAATTGCTTCATCTCAGCTACATACACATAATTTCCATTCAATTTTCCGATGATTATTACGAAAACTGCAACTATTTAAACAACATCTATTAGACATACCAATCAGGTTTAACATGGCTGTCTATGGGATAGATTAATAGTTGTACTTATATATGGTGCTTAATCAGGTGTCATTCGATAACTAATCAACGGAAAGATGAAAGAAAATTATGTACACGTAGATGAAGATGATTCCCAGGATGTTTGCAAAATCATAAATATTACTTCCAGACATTCACTTGTCAACTTGTTAAGATCTGTAAAAGTAAACTTAATACAGTAGCCGATGCATCACGCTTCATGACCAAGATTACGTGTGGCAAGATTTGTAAAGATGCACGTGACTATAAAGTTTCATGCCGGTAGTTCTATTCCTTAGAAACAATAATAGAATCGTGTTTTTTACAACACTTAAACATTGACTCTCGTATTTACATTGACCAAAATCGTTTCAGACCGTGGTCTCATCCCTGAGACGGCACATGCTAAACTAGTTGGGGCTCGTTTTATCTTGTGAAATAAGCCTTTGACCTTTTCATGACCAAAGGATTCCCACAAGGTCATTTGGAAAAATCGTGAAAGAATGATCTGTTATGTCAATTACCTGTGTGCATTAGTCAGTCGGAAGGTCAAAGTTAAGCAAAACCTTAAAATAAACCCGTTTAACTATGTCGACAGGGCTGCTAATAGTCAACTAATACGTTCATGGGGTCAGTCCAAATAAGCGTTGGTGAAGGTGAATTGCTATGTAAATATTCTCAGCATGGCAAATAATTGTACATAGATGTACATTAATACAACAGACCTCGTTGATTTGACAATGAAGGGTGACATGCAGACTGGAGTTATCTGGATTGCTTGGTGTTTGTGGGATTGCCATAAGATCTATAACAGGTCATTGTTGGGGAAAGGACAACTCGCCGACAAGAAACGTACCACACATACAAGACACACTGGGGAAAGGACAACTCGCCGACAAGAAACGTACCACACATACAAGACACACTGGGGAAAGGACAACTCGCCGACAAGAAACGTACCACACATACAAGACACACTGGGGAAAGGACAACTCGCCGACAAGAAACGTACCACACATACACGACACACACAGAGACACACTGGGGA